GCTGTTGTCGCCCTGTTGATGACATCAGCGACGCGGTTTAATCGGGCGCGCTTTAGTCGAGCGCGGTTTTGTCGTGCCACGATTTGGAGAGATGAAAGTGCTACATTGACGGTAATGACATGTCTTGGATATTGTTAGAGGAGAAACAGCGATTTTCCAGACACATCCTACAATACTTGCTAAAGTATCCTAAATATTTTCTATGAGGGCAAATTTAAAAAAAATATATGCTAGAACTTCACCCACCTTCTGCGTTTCGGGATCTATTAACCAGTTCCAAGCACCAGTGGCTGTACAGACTGATACCACTATAAGAATTACTGGAAAAGAATCGAAAGGACAAAAATGATGTCGTTGCATTGAATACATTGGGAACAAACTCTTAACAATTTGACTTAACAATCAAAAGAGACCCTGCCAATCACGGTCTTAAATTGTGAAGGTTGTAAATAGAATAGAACCGAATTCTTTGTTGGCCAATTGTGATTGGACACACAAGGAATTTGTCTTTGGTGCAGATGTTCTCGGTGTACATAAAAAGACAAGATACATTCGTCAAGAATCATAAGGTACAACACTTAATGAGGGTCATAGGGTACAAATAAGCAATCAAGAAACAATATAAATATAAATTGTAAGGATGCAAGCAACAAAGTTACAGTCCTGCAGTCATAAGTGGGAAGGAATGAGTGATAGGAACGATGAGAAGATTAATAGTAATGCAGCCTTAGTGAATAGTTTGACAATGTTGAGGGAATTATTTGTTTAGCAGAGTGATGGCATTCAGGGAAAAATTGTTCTAGTTGTCTTGGTGCGCCGTTTTGAGGGTAGGAGTTCAAGGAGTTAAAGCACCCCATGAAGAGATCCAGTTTATTAATTACTTTTTTTTTCAGGGTTGTTACGCAAAAATCACCCTTATTGTAAATTGCAAGGACGGTGATTATAATACACTTTACCAAATAATGCAGATTTCCATCACCCAGCTTTTCAACATGAGTTTCTTAAAGACACAGATAGCAGCAAGTTGATCAAGCATTTAATAATTGGGAGGCAAGCCTGTCACTTACTTCTCCAGCGTCCAGTAGCTGGTTGTAAACAAGCTATGTATTCAGTTAGCCTTCTTTCAAAAGCCTTGAGATCTAAAAAAAATGAGAGGGAATAATCGGATTAGTCAAAGCCTGCTTTAGAATTTAGATTTAGCATCTTGAAACCATAGAAAGTACTTTACGAGGTGATGGCTACGCAAAGGACATTTGTGTGCTTTTAAGTTAGTGCTGACTTTTGGCCCTACCTGGATAAATCTGCAGGTTTTTTCCCCATTCTAGCTGTATTTTGTCTGTTGTACCAATAAAAATAGAGGGACGTGGTGGCTCAGTGGCTAAGATGCTGAGCTTGTCGATCAGAAAGGTCGACAGTTCGGCGGTTCGAATCCCTAGTGCCATGTAACTGAGTGAGCTCCCATTACTTATCCCAGCTTCTGCCAACCTAGCAGTTTGAAAGCACGTAAAAATGCAAGTAGAAAAATAGGAACCACCTTTGGTGAGAAGGTAACAGTGTTCCGTGCGCCTTTGGCATTGAGTCATGCCAGCCACATGACCACGGAGACGTTTTTGGACAGCGCTGGTTCTTTGGCTTTGAAACGGAGATGAGCACTGCCTCTTAGAGTTGGGAACAACTAGCACATATGTGCGAGGGGAACCTTTACCCATAAACACTTTTTTTTGTAAAACTGGATGAGGATAACACAGGCACATAATACAATCCCATCCAGTGAAGGTAGTCCTGAACTGAATACTTTATTGGCCAAGTGTGATTAGACACGTGAGAAATTTGTTTCTGGTACAGAAGCATTTCAGCATACTTGCAACAGAAATAATAATAATAATAACAATAAGTAGGTCCTATAGGTAGACAAAATACCAAATTCAATCTGAGCATCTGGCTGCCTCTGCAACAAACCATCCTGCCATTAAAAGGAGACAGTAAAGAAGATAATTTATAATATTCAGAGCACAAATCCTCTTCTCCCATATATGAAAATCTGAATTACTTGTGAAGGCACACCTAAGACTCCTGGCCCATCTAAGGGAACATCAATCAATTAATTTTATTAAATTTATTGGCTGCCTAGGGTAACTTAAATATTAAAAGAATAAAACTATACAAAACTGGATGAATAGATGGATGGATAGACAGATAGATGATAGACAGATGATGGATAGATGATAGACATGATAGATAGATAGATAGATAGATAGATAGATAGATAGATAGATAGATACATACATACATACATACATACATACATACATACATGATGGCATGATGGGTGGTGCATGATGGATGGATAAGATAGATAGATAGATAGATAGATAGATAGATAGATAGATAGATAGATAGATGATGGATAGATGG